ATGATTCATTCTTCTCATCAACGCATTAGTTATAATTCATCATCTCACTAGAAATTTCAATAGTTATATAACTAAGTAAAAAGACTAATCACGAGTTTCGTTTCGTAAATACTAGAATTTTAGGAAAATAATTTCCATCTACTTATGAGTAGCACCATAAATAAGGGAAGATTATCATATATATTTAGACAATTATATTTGAAAATCATCAAATCACATCACAAAAAATCGAATGTTCGATTCTTCCGATGTAGATTGCATATAAAATCAGGATTCATCGCATCCCCAAACCCTATGACCTTAGTATTAACCCAAACTCCAATCCTAAATCACTGATTCTCTAAGAAATCTGTTAGGATTCCCATAACTTCTAGAAGAGAAATCACTCACATCACCTAATGATGTCAATTTAAAGAAAATATTTTAACACACTGAACTCACAGTTGTTTGCATTTATTTAGTTTAGTAATTAGACCCAGAGTGTATAAGAGTTAAGGATTTATTATTACTGCGAAATGGTACATTACATACTGAAGCGAATTTATATGAATACACAAAATAGTTTATGTGAAAACTAGGTTGTATGAATGTTTCTGATTGAAGATTAGATATTTTTTTTAGCTGGATAGGCCTTTATATTGTCCTTTCTAAAACAGTTTAGAGTCAAAGTACTTTCAATAAAAATATTTAGTGGTAAAAATGTCATATACATATTGTTGACTGATGAAGATTCCAGTAAAACTAACAATTAACGTGATATTCGAATATATCTCCCTGTTGGAGACGTTAGGTCTCCAGAACTCACTTGATAAAGGTCGTAATTTTGGATTTTATGTTTCCGAGCATAGGCTGAACAGCTGACCTTGAGATTATAACTCCCACCTGGAAAATCCTTGGCTCTTCTTACATACTTACGCCTGTTACCCCCAATGGAGCAGGTGCCGCCCACCAGTTTTCTCCAACCAACTCTGTCCTGGACTTCCCTTTCTAGTTCTTTACAGTTTTTGTTCTTCTTAGTTGATGTATTATTTTAGTACGCTATTTTTGTGGCTCTCTCAAGGACGTATCTATCATGCATGAAAAAACTCGCTTTGTGTGCTTGCCAACCTCGTAGTTTCCGCGTGCCAGTAGAATTCACTTTCTACATCTTCTCAAGACTTAGTGGGGCCTTGGGACGCTCGGATTAGAGTAGCCTATCGTGTCACTGGATCATTTGTTTTCGCTCTCGTTTACCGACTACAGTGAACTCGTAAAGCATATCAACTGACGAGCATAACACTCCTATGTCAATGTCATCTGGGTCACTAATGGAGAGTGACATGTCTAGGTTCATGTAAAGTACCGCAACACTGTTGCATTACAGACAACACACTATCATAAAAAAGGGCCAGAAACCCTCTAACAAGATCGGATATCTTTAGAGCTAAAAATTTAAAGGCTACGCCAGTGGCCTTTGTTGACACATCCAATATTACTAACTGATGGAGTGGCTTTTTATTCCCGATTACATTTATAAATGCTCTTAGTTGCTATACTGCCTGCGAGGTGGCAAGCTCTATCCTTCTGATCTACTGTACAAAAATGGCGCTGTAGCTGACCGTCTACTTTACGCTGTGTCTATGCGCTACGACTGTTTTAAAACTGCATATTAAGTCAACATTCGGAACAATCTCAAACTAACCTGAAGTTTTTTTGAATGCTTTAATACACGAAGACGAATACTAAAGACATGCTATGCAACGGTTCGATTTCCGTAAGTTTTGTAAACGATATCGATTACAAGAGATGTTGCATCTCCAAACAGTAGTAAAGGCCGAATACTCTTAATTGGATCTTCTGTCAAACGACGGAACCATGCGCTCCATTTATGAAAAACGCTGAATAAATCATGGCTGGTTACGGTGAACAATACCTCAACCATACGAATATGGGCAAAAAACCAACAGCTTGCCTTATTTATTATATACACGATGTTCAAAGTAACATTCGTCCGTGTTGGTGACGATGTCCTTTCATACTACATACATATTTAATCTCTTTTTGCGATGACTATCCCAGATATGAAGATGTCGGAAAGCTTGATTTCCGAAAATCGTTCATTGTATGTCTAACTTTTCTTCAGTTGAAAATCCAACACCCACAAACTTCTCTCGAAACATATTATCAGCTTCACAGTTCGATTTAGACATATGAAAAGATATGACTGAGATAATAAAATTTCTCTTTTGACACTAGTTTATACTGATCAGAAAGCAGGCTGTTCATTGAACGATACGAGCATGATTGGCGAAGGGAGATAAGATTATATGAAAATTATATTTCGTACCCCTGAAATTTAATTTCCGTTAATAGCATATTACTAATATATATATATATATATATATATATATATATATATATATATATCCTAACGAGTGTAAGTATTTTAATTAGTCAAAAATATTTATCACATAGTTGACATTTTCAAATAAATTCTAAGTGAAATAAATCAATAATGATGATAAAAGTTTAGGTTTTATCAGTCAGTGAGTAACATCACAGAATCATTAGAATAAAATATAAACATTTAAACAACGGGAAACAAAAACTGAACAGCCATTGACGACCTGTGTTAGGGATGTTAGATCCCCAGAACTCACTTGATAAATATCTTTATTTTGGATTTATTTCATGGACCGATCAGTTGACCTTGAGATTACATTTCCCACCAGGAGAATCCTTGGCTGTGATTGGTTACTGTGTCATTTTAGTGTGCTATTTTTGTGACTGTTCCAAGGACGTCTCTATAGAGTATAAATAAACTCAATTTGAGTGCTTGGATTCATTGTGTGCTGGCTGAGTGTTTGTAGAATACACTTTCTACGCTATATCAAGACTTCTTGCTGGTACAATTGGGTCAAGGGATCACAGTAGCCTACCTGGACGCTGGTTCATTGTTTTGTTCCCGTTATTCGATTAAGGTGAACCCGCAATAGTCTAAGCATACCTAGAGGCGAGCGTAACAACCTGGAATCACAAAACGATAGTTTCATATTGGTGTGGGACTCCTCAACATTGGGTGCTCACAACTCCGTAACAGGAGATCGAACCCAGGACCTTCGAAGGAATTTAGCGGCCCCCACAACCCTTTCATAACAATGATCATTTGCTTACTACCTAACTACTAGCTTCGAGAAGAAATGTCTGGAGTTTTAGTGAGAGGACATATCCAGTGAAGCCATACCGTATAGGATATGCGGAAGTTATCCGATGAAGACAATGGAAAATAGTCACGCAACATCGTAGATTGATTAATGTTCGAATTAAAGATCATTGGATCCAGGTGCTCACCAGTTCAGAGGTTTAGTATGTGTGCTCTGCTGAAGAGCCTTATACTGGGATAAACCAGTAGTCCAGTAACTCTGGGTTTTAATGGTGGTTTGTCATTAATCTTTGGCGCTTAACATTTTTATATTCGAGATTTGTGCATTATAAATATATATATATATATATATATATATATATATATATATTTATATTTATGGTATACGAGAACATACATATATCGATCGACACACTTTAGATTTGAATCTACAACTCTAAGTATTCGATAACGATTCATCTTATTGACAGTTTTACTTAGAAATAAAAAGAGCCGAGAAAAAATTGTCATATTCAATTTACATTTCTTCTATATTGAACATAAAACGTAAATTTAAATTTCCTGGGAAACATGAGTATTTTCAGTTAGAGCCTTGGAGATTCGTCTTTTTACACATTTGAAATCGTCAATCAATAATTGTTAGACCACCATTAGAAACCAGGGAGCACTGCACGACGGCCGCTTCGTCCTGGTATGGGACTCATCAACAGTGCGCACCCACGACTCCTGCACCATGGTTTCAAAAAATGTGTAACTTAACAATCTTCACAACCCCGTAATGCAAATTACCTGTGCTCATTAGTGACTAACTTCGTGAGGAATCTTCTCCGAGTTCTAGTGGGAAGAAGTGACCAGTGAACTTCAACCTGTTCGGGTGTAGACAGTAACTACCGAAGACTGTGTATGAGGTTGCGAAACTCCGTGAATTGATCAAGTTAGACAATAACACCGTCAGATACCGGCCCAGTGGTCCACAGAAGTTAGGCGTTCGCACAGAATACCGAAGGTCCTGGGTTCGAATCTTGCGAGGTGCAGGAGTCGTAGATGCGCACTGCTGAAGAGTCGCACACCATGACGAAACGGCTGTAGTGCAGTGCTTCCAGGCTTCCAATAGTGTGATCTAACAATGACTGATTGATGATTTCAAATGTGTAAATATGAGTATTCTATATTTGCACTTAATCAAGGAAAAATATCACAAACCTAGAAAGGAACTGTACTGGAACAATTAACATTCACATTAAATTAAAACAAACTACTGTATCTTGATGACATGGTCTATTGATTTATAAGTACTGGTTACCCTTAAGATTGTAATTTAAAAACTAAGCACATTTTACTCACAGATCTTCAAAGGATTAACACATTCATAAAGTCAGGTGCATTAAGTCCTTTACATATATTCAACTCTTATTCAAATGTTTCACACAGACCATCATCTTACTAACTTTTTAACAGACTTTAGTCAGATGAAGTACATTGACTGAAATCAGTTTACCTTTTAAAAATAGGTCAAGAAGGACATTAGCAGTTCAACAAGTTCTAACTTCTTAATGAGATCTCAGTGACATTTGTCTTAACCACTTGGACAGTTGTGTAAGTCATAGGTATTCTCGTCTACTATTTCGAAACATTCCTATTTCCAATGGTTTGTCAATGAGTACCATTTAGTAGTTAGAATTGTATAATACCAATGTAAATAAATGATAGTCAGAGTCTTATTAAATCATAACAATCATCATTTGCATTCTATATTACAGTGTTTCATCAATTCATTTTAAATAATCAAATAACGTGGACAATTGGACAAAATTGTTATTTTCCAAGTTTCATACATCATTCACACGAATCAATTTGGATGACAGATTATGGTTTGAATAATTTTCACCAACATCAAACACAAAACAGCCATGACAATACTGATTTAAACAAAATCTCATTATTCTATTCCTTACAATTACCAGAAGAATTGTACAATTATAAATTTAATTTTTTAAATTTACAATATGGTTGGCTGCAAATGTTATTTACAAAAGATTCACATCATGCATGGTTATTTTTATCATGTTATCATATTGTCTATATGAAACATTTGGCTTTCTTTACATCAATCACTGATTATCTGACAAGTATTTGCAATGTGAATGAACAAACTACTTATAGAAATAATAGTAATAACGTACGTTGGTTTACTACTACTACTACTACTACTAGTACTTACACTGGAAGTATCAATTATACACAATTAATGTACAATTATGATGAACATCGTAATTCTAAGCGTAGTAGTTTACAATCATCATTGGGTTATATGAAAATGTCTTGTTCTTGGCAATCGGGTAAAAATATCTATTTGGTACAATACACAAATCCCAAAGGAGGGTAAGTACAGCATGTTACTTATTATCATAAATGCTCACATTTATTTTATACTACTCTGTTTATTTCTCACGATTAGTCAGTAAAATGTAAATGCTCCATTGGCGACATTAGTTAAATGGTGACGATCGTTGCATTTTGTTAACCGTTTATCAGTCAACTATCCAAATGAATACAACGTAAACCTCATAGCTTTTCCAGGTTGGGTTATAAATATTTGATTCTACGCATGGGTTTGTCATCGATCGCCTTACAAAAAGTATAATGATTATGAGGAAACGAGTATTATTCTGAACATTGTCTTTGAAAAATTGTTGACCAATGATCTGTAAGCAATCGCCGACAAGGTACTTTGATTAATTATAACTTCTGAAAATAATGTCACTGTAAAACCCCTTAACAACTACCTGTCAAGGAGGTCGATTTAATTGGACAACCTATGTTTGAGGCAGTTTGGTTTCAACTTTTCATGGGTAATAAATGTATACACTCTTAAGCACTTACATTTCTAAAAATGTTTGTTCTAAAGAATTAGAGATTAGAAAATGCAACAGCTCTAAAACAATGCAACTGTTCTGTAGTTAATTGATAGCAGTAGGCATGTAATTGACATTTGTCAGTTTTTCAAAATTATGAACAGACAAAACAATACAGCTTCTGTTTGCTTCATTGTGGTGATGGTGTTTGGTTCTCTGAGCTGGATGTTTTGGTTGTGGAGCTTTCATTGTTCTCCTGCTGAACAACATCATCAACAGCACACACTTCAGATAGAATTGAAGCATTCGAATTTCTCCACGTTTGACCTGTAGCTTGTTCTGCTAACCTCGATCTTGATTGGTTGCTGTTGACCTTAGGTCCGTTGTTCTGATTGTATCCCTCTATTGATCAAAACAAAGGCGCAAACAACGACAGGTTTAAGGTCAACAGCAACCAATCAAGATCGAGGTTAGCAGAACAAGCTACAGGTCAAACGTGGAAAAATTCGAATGTTTCACTTCTATCTGAAGTTTGTGCTAATGATGATGTTGTTCAGCAGGAGAACAATGAAAGCTCCACAACCAAAACATCCAGCTCAGAGAGCCAAACACCACCACTATGATGAATTCATATTATTCTGTCTTGATTGTTATACTGAACTTTATTCAAATGTTGACAAAGGGAAATTATTGTATTCCTTATAAAATATGGATAAAGTAAGAAATGATGTTTGTAAGAAGTGAATAACTAACCAATATGTGTATTGAAAAAGAATTTCAAACAATAAGAGTCTCTTTTATAAATCATTCATATAAAATGCCTTGGAAAGCAATTGTGTGACTAGATTGTTCAAAATGTATAACGCGAATACATCAAATTTTTTTTGCAGATCACTTATGTCTTCTTACTGTTCTATTCAAAAAAATATTATGAGAAGCTAGATTCATAATTTTAATAATGTGTTAATCATAGATAATGAGAATATATCATTCAGTCAGTAGTCAGTCAGTCACTTACAACGTAGAACTTCGTACGTACGTACGTACGTACGTACATAAGTTCACACTGCCATACTACATTAACACAGAGACGCAATTGCCAGCTTCATTCCTATAGTGGTAAAGATAGTAGAAGGATTAATGGTTATGGAGAAGATTAGGGTTCGAAGATATTATTCAAGAAGTATAATTCAGTAAGATAAATTTAGAAAGTGAAAAATAGAAGTGATGAAGAATTTAGAAGATTAGAATTTGAGAGAACACAAAAAGTGGATGCATCTGTGCCACTGAAAACTATTTCGAGCCATGCCATTCAAAGTCTCTAATCATCGGTTCCTATCATCTCTCGGACACCAACCAGGTAGTCTACACCCACCAACACGGTTCAGTCGACTTCATGGATTTGTAACATGTTTTGGTCTGACTTCGTTCCAATCTACTACTACACCACAAAATATAGATCGACGAGGCAGTCGGTGGTTGGGCATTCGTAACTTATGTCCCAACCACCTTAACTGATGAAGTCTCAATACTTCATCTATTGATCTGCCATCGTTACCTAGTACTCGTTTCCTAACGACAGCACTGTTTACTCGGTAGTCCCATGATACACGAGCAATGCTTCGAAGATACCTATGATCGAAATCCAATAACCTACAAATATCCTCTACTCTTGCTAGCCATATTTCATAGCCATAAAGTAGGATGGAGCGAACTGATGCAAACTAAACCCGTCCTTTGGTTAGCAAACAAATATCTCACCTAAACCAATCGAACTTTTCGTGTCCGTGTAGTTTCATCAAGCACAAAAGTAAACTTGACTCCGGCAATATATCGATCATTGTAACTTTCTACACAGACATAATTCAATGAACATGTACATTTTCCACTGGAAATCAATAAAACAAATAAAAACCCATCATAGTAGAAAGCAAAATAAGAGAGATGAAGCAACAGAAAAAAAATCACTTGAAATGGCGCATCTCTAATTGTAACATACACTTTGTTTGTATCTTTCCAAAATATTATCTTTAATCTGATCAATTTTCAAGTAACTAACTTCCTTTCTTTGTTTAGGGTAATGTTTGTTTCAATAACTAACTACTACTACTACTACTACTTTCATCATGTTTCCTTGTTTTTTTCTTAAGAAAGAAGAAAGCTATTTATTTGGATAATAATCTAATTCTGTTGCAAAGTGTTGTTAATTGATTTTAAGCGGTCGCCATTTGTGTTTTTTTTTCTAAAAAAGAAGCCTCTTTTTTTTTCAATCCAATGAATTACGTACGATTGGATAATTTAGTGATTAAGAAAATGTTGAGTGAAAACAAACACTACCAATATTCAACTAAGGATTATTGTTGAATAATTTGGTCAACTTTCTAAGTTTATCAATGAAATTTACTATTTAGCTTTGATTGTCCGTATTTTTATACAAATAAGAGAAGCTTAACAATAGATCTTATTTTGACAAGCAAGTTTACTTACTTACTTACGCCTGTAACCCTCAATAGAGCATAGGCCACTGACCAGATTTCTCCAAGCAACTCTGTCCTCGGCTTTCCTTTCTAGTTCTTTCTAGTTTTTGTTCATTCTTCTCATGTCTTTATCTATTTCTCGGCGTAATATGTTCCTTGGCCTTCCTCTTTTCCTTTTGCCTCGAGGGTTCCATGTGAGGGCTTGTCTTGTGACGCAGTTACGTGCTTTTCGTAGTGTGTGTCCTATCCACTTCCACCGCTTCTTCCTCATTTCCTCCTACACTGTAATCTGGTTTGTTTTCTCCCACAGTAAGTTGTTGCCGATCGTGTTTGGCCAACGAATACGAAGTATTTTGCGAAGTCAACTGTTAATAAACACTTGTATCTTCTGGATGATGCCTTTCCTAGTTCTCCGTGTTTCCTCTCCATACAGTAGAATTGTCTTAACATTTGTATTGACAATCCTGATTTTGGTTTTGGTTGAAAGTTGTTTGGAGTTCCAGATATTTTTCAACTGTAGAAATGCAGCCCTTGCTTTGCCAATCCGCGCCCTCACATCTGTATCGGATCTGCCTTGGTTGTCGATGATGCTGCCAAGATATGTAAAGGTGTTAAGGTCCTCGAAGGCATCTCCATCAAGAGTGATTTGGTTGGTGCATGTTGTGTTGCATCGGAGAATTTTGCTTTTTCCTTTATGTACGTTGAGACCTACTGCTGCAGAGGCTGCTGCTACACTGGTCGTCTTCTCTTGCATTTGTTGTTGCGTGTGCGATAGAAGAGCCAAGTCATCTGCGAAGTCCAGATCGTCCAGCTGCGTCTTAACTGTCCAGTTGATACCGTGCTTCCCTCCAGATGTCGACGTCTTCATAATCCAGTCGATGACCAGGAGAAAGAGAAAGGGTGAAAGTAAGCAACCTTGCCTGACACTGGTATTCACCTCAAAAGAGTCTGTTAGCTGTCCTTTGTGTACGATTTCGCAGTTGAATCCATCATAAGAATTCCGTATGATGTTGACTATTTTCTCAGGCACACCGTAGTATCGAAGAAGCCTCCACAAGCAAGTTTGCTTGAGAATATTTTACACAGTTTCTTTTGGTTTTTTTTGGCTTTTCCTCGATCGTTTGCCTGTTTTGAATTATTACTATGAATTTCGAACTACTTCACACACATATGGTCGTTTGTAATCACATATAGTATTTCAACTCGTTTTTTAACATTTTTTATAATCCTTATAATGTCCTTACACGTCGGATTAATATCAATTCAGAATCAAGTAAAATTAAGTGACACATATATATATGCGCAAGGTTTTATGAATGCCGAAGACTCATTCATAAAAGTTTTTATTGATAAATCATCCTTTAATTTGTATTTGAGAAGAACTTTGGGAAGATCTATATATGCATGAGTAAAACCAGCAAGTGCCATGGTTCTGTCACACACGTGGAACTAACCACAATAACAGAAAATGAAGTTCTTTTTTGCTCAAACATTTGTTGGTTCAGTGAACTCTCCGATAAGTTCATTCATTTATTTTTTGATCATTGGATTGAAAAATGCAATCAAAAATTCAATTTTTTTAAGAATTGCATTTTTATCCTTGATATAATTAATGCAAAGATCCATCACTCTAATATTACCAAAACTTTTTTTGATGAAAAGGGAGTAAAGGTTATATTTTTGTCTCCTTAATCTAATTGAATTAGCATTTTCAAAAATTAAATACATTGTATATAAGAAGATCACTGGCAAACGGATTTAATGAATCATTTAAAAATCTTATATTAAATTCTGTAAATCAATTAACTACAAATGATTCGTTTACAAGGTTATTCGAGGCATATACATTGCAATTGTTTAAAAGCGATTTCTAAAGAAGACTTTAATTTAAAACTAGTATTCTTTTTATTGCTGGGATTATTGTACCAGTTCTCAATGAGCAAACTAACATTTGAAGGAAGTATGCGGAATATCCACCAGCAATACTGATTCATACAAACACACTGGAAATCTACAACTGTTCAAATTTGAAGGACACACTGATCAATATACGTCATGTTGGAGACGTTAGATCCCCAGAACTCGCTTCATAAATGCCTTAACTTTGGATTTCATGTTTGCGAGCATGGGCTGATCAGTTGACCTTGAGATTTCATTTCCCACTACGGAAATCCCTGGTTGTGATTGGTCGCTGTGGATTTTAGTGTGCTATTTTTGTGACTCTCACAAGGACGTCTCTATAGAGTATAAATAAACGCAATTTGATTGCTTGGATTCACTGTGTGCTTGCTGGGTGTTTGTAGAATATACTTTCTACACTTATCAATACTTCTCTTTAGCTGTTTCAGATCAAGGTAGCCTATCTGGACGCTGGTTCATTGGTTCTTTCGCGTTTATCGACTAATGTGAACCCGTAATAGTTTCAAGCGTACCTAGTGACGAACCTAACAGTATTCATTGTTTTAACTCAGGATCACAATGGTCAACTTAGTTACTTTTCAACTAATTAACTCAATATATCTATTGACTGTAATGAAGATTAAATAAAAGGAATGGTTAATTATTCATAACTCGTCCACCGTAAAAGTTATTCATCACATAATGCTAAGATGATAACCGGTTACCGAGTTTTGTAAACAAGTGTGAATTGCTTCTTGCAACAATAACTACGATTATAATTTTCCTTAGTTCATATTTTCATGTTGTTATGTTCGTCACTAGGTACGCTTGAAGCTATCATGAGTTCACCTTAGTCGATAAACGCGAACGAGACAATTACCAGCGTCCAGATAGGCTACCTTGAATCCCAAACTGCAAACAGAAGTCTTGATAAGGGTAGAAAGCATATTCTACGAACACCCAGCAATCACAATACAATCAAGCACACAACTCTCGTTTATTTAGACATCATAGAAACGTCCTTGGGACAGTCACAAAAATAGCACACCAAAATACACAACAGCCACTCACAGCCGTGAATTTTCCTGGTGGTAAATGAAATCTCACGGTCAACTGATCAGCCAATGATCGCAAATGTGAAATCCAAAATAAGGCATTTATCAGACGAGTTCTGGGGATCTAACATCCCCAACACATGTGGTCTTTTAACATTTGGTCGTTACTTCTCACAGTTTGTTAATGTTCCTTGATCCTAATAAAGTCAAGTTTGGATGTTATGTATTTTGAAGTTGTTCCATTTCAATGTGTCATCATTAAGTAGCAAGTTTTATCCTTCTATTCAGATTCTATTTTTGTGAATTGTTCTTGTAGTGCTGTCTGTTAACTGCCATCAAGTCAAGTTCAGTATAGATTCCATTCATATTAGAAATAATTTTGTTGAGTTTACAATTTGCAATTACCGTAACGGAACCAGATCCCCGAGTGACACATTCATACTACATACTGAATGTTAGATATCTTTATTCACTTATCTCAACAAATAAGAAAACATTTTCGAAACCATGAATCGATCAATGTTAGACCACCATTAAAAACCTGGAAGTACTGGACTGCCGTTTCGTCCTCGTATGGGGCTCTTCAGCAGTGCGCATCCACGAATCGTGCACCCCGCAGGATTCTAACCCAGGACCTCCGGTCTTTTGCGCGAACGCCTAACCGCTGAACCACTGAGCCGGTATCTAACGGTGTTAATGTCTAACTTGATCAATTCTAATGGTGGTCTAACAATGATCAATTCATGGTTTCAAAAATGTGTAACACATTTAACAATGTTCACAACCCCGTAATGCAAATAAGAAAACATTATGAATTTGATTTTGGCCAGTGAGAAAATGAGTATGCACAAAGAATTTCAAACACAGATTTACATGGAATAAACACACTTTCTAGGCAAAATAATTTAGTGTTTCATATAAAGTTACTAAAAACAAGTCATTGATATCTGTTCTTTAATTTGATTGAATATCTAGGCGACGACTGTTGATGCCTAAAACTAACCAGTTCGAGAATAAATTAAGATTTCAAAAAATTTAACAACTTATAATATCTTCATCATTGTTAATTTTCAGTTGATTTAAACAAATCTTTACTAATGGTTTGAATTAAATATCACTCCAAGTGGATTTAATTAAAGAGATTAATTTACGAAGTACTCACTCGAGTGTTGATCTGTTAAAGTTACCTCACCTCACTTCAAATCATGAGACAAATAATTCAAAAAGAGAGAGATGAATCATTTTATACATGCCGCTACAATCGACTTTAACTTGTGTAATCTAACATGAGATTATGATAATCAAAATGAATTTATTCCGCAAATAATCATATACTGATCATTATCAAAACATTAATTAAAAACTACATGTACTGGTACTAATTTAAACAACATTTATACATTCACACAAACGTTTCATCTGTGTGTAATTCACTTTGATGCATAAAATTCTTGATTCAATTAGTCATCTTCTATTGGCTGTTGTGATTTTGTATGATTTCATCATACTACCTGCCATATTGAACAATCGTTTTAGTTTTTAGAAAACAAATGTCAAAAAACTATGAATTCAGTGTATTTTGTTGGTGTTTTTTTTATTTTTTAGATCAATATATCAATGTATTAAATTTGAACCGATCAATAAACTTGAATCAGTCTCAGTTTTTAATCTATTTTTAAGTGAGTGAGTTCAATTATTTTTACTTGTGGAGTATTATTCAAATGTAAAAGACCATGAATATGGAGGTTTAGGTTGCGTAGTAACTAAATAACTTTCTGCATACATGCTCGTCGCTCTATCATGTTCTATTTCACAAGGCTAGTAATGTTGTGCATGATATGTTTACTGTAGGATAATTCAACTAGAAGCTAGTCAATAGTGCGCACATGATGATTATTACTTATTGCAATCTATATTGTCGGCAGTATTCAGCCCCTCTTCAAAACCACTTGTAGTTCTAGATGCAATTTCTCGTGAAAAGCCATGACCATGTCGGGTGTGAGACAGTTGTTCACTGTAAGCAATGGAACAGTGGTCGGGCAGTTTATTAGTGAATTGATGGAAGTTAGACATACTGGCTTAGTGGTTTGCTAATATGATACCTAAACTAACAGAGTCCTAGCATTCTTCATTATATATATATATATATATATATATATATATATATATATTCTTGAAAGCATCATCCATTGTAGTTTACGTAACGAAGTCTATTATCTGAAATTATTTGGCAAACGCTTATTCCGTTGGAAATACAACACAAACATCCATTTAAACAGAGTACCCCTCTAGCTATTTGAAATAAACGTATGAAATGATATGATTGATATAATAAAAATAACAATTATTATCAAATTGGGGGGGGGGTTGGCGTTCGTGCACAAGACCGAAGGTCCTGGGTTCGAATCCTGCGAGCTGCAGGAGTCGTGGATGCGCACTGCTGATGAGTCCCATACCAGGACGAAACGGCCGTCGTGCAGTGCTTCCAGGCTTCCAATGATGGTCTAACAGCGATTGACTGATGATTTCAAATGTGTAAAAACACTAATCTTCATTATATCATATACTTGTTCGAAGTAAACTCTTCATTGAACATTTGGAAAACTACGTTTTTGATTGGTCGTAGAGGTAAGGGTACATTTGGTAAATCTTACAGGTTTCACAGTCTGAAGATTTGATTCCCCTCTCTTGATATAATCGCATTTATTAATATGTGCTTTTCTAATGGTCACCGTGGCCAATGCTTATTTTGGTTGGTGTGTGTCTTTTTCAACTGCGCCCTTTTTTCAATCCCCCTTTCATTTGTATCCTTATTAGAGTGAACCCAAAAATAACTTATTTGAGTATTTGTTGTTGAGTATTGTTCATTCTGCACATTCGATTCATTGAAAAATTATTCTGGTTTGACCTTAGACATTAATTAAGACTTCTGCTTTTATTTAGCCCTAAAATTTTTATAGGCCAGGGTTTAAATTTAACGGAATTTAAATATACAAATTTAAATTTTCCGGTTCTGACAGGAAAACGCTGAAATTCGATACTTCCTAATCAGTATACTAACAATTAAGTTGCTGACAGAGTGCTAAATCTCACAAAAAAGAAAAGTGTTAGTATGGAAATAATGTTATAATGTAAAACTTGCTCTTCACAGTCCTGTGGTTAAAAAAAACAATACAGTTCTGTTAGTTGAAATAAGTGGGTGAATATATTTAACTTAGTCTCTGAACTGATGCCAAAAATATATGATACTTGTATTGAAATTAAAGTCTAATAAGAGCTTTAGTAAAATTTAGCAAAGCAAACATATAAGCTGAAAATACTAAACATGTTATCAAGTCACTAATCATTTATGTTGGGGACGTTAGATCCCCAGAACTCGCTTCATAAATGCCTTAATTTAGCATTTTATGTTTCTGAGCATGGGCTGATCAGTTGACCTTGAGATCGCATTTCCCACTAGGAAAATCCTCGGCTGTGATAGGTTACTGTGTTATTTTAGTGTGCTGTTTTTGTAACTCTCCCAAGGACGTTTCTATGGTGTTTAAATAAACGCGATTTATGTGTTTGAATTCAGTGTGCTTGCTGGGTGTTTGTAGAATACACTTTCTACGCTACATCAAAACTTCTCGTTAGCTGTTCGGGGTCAACGGATCAGAGTAGACTAACTGGACGCTGGTTCATTGTCTCGTTCCCGTTAATCGACTAAGGTGAACCCATAATAGTTTCAAGCATACTTAGTGACGAGCATAACAATTTAGTAATTTATTTGTTTTATTCGTTTCTAATTTATAGGTGAATATACCTCGTCTACAGCTGACTTGGCACTGTGTCATCCTTCAGCGTTTAAACATGATTCATCAAAGTGGATTGCTAGTAAGCTGAATAAGTATTTAATATCATATTTCAATATGATTTCTCTTTTAAATGGTTTATTTTTAATTGCGAAAATTATTTTCATTGACAGTTGACACCCAATATGAAGTGATTTCAGCTTTGACACCGTTGATAGTTGTTTTATCGTCTGGAATGGAATGCTTCAGTAGAGTACATCCACAACTTCACCACAGATCAAACCTAAAACCTTCAGGTCTAGCAAAAAAGGTTTAGTCGTTAGATTCACTGGGTTGATGTCAAATAGTAAACATTTCAAAATTTAATCGATGCTCAATCCAGCTGTGATAGTATCCCGATGCCACTGGCGAAAACTGTTTCCCTCTAAATATACTTAAACTCCATTAGTCATTATTTCCCGGTGGAACTGGATGAATTCGTGAAAGATTTTTTTACTAGTATCCTAAGTGATATCAGTTCGTGAATAGTTTCTCCTACAAATTAAATTATTTGCATTACGGTGTCGTGAAGATTGTTAAGTTACAAATTTTTGAAACCATGAATCGACCAGTGTTAGACCACCATTAGAAACCTGGAAGCACTGGACGGCCGTTTCGTCCTGGTATGGGACTCGTCAGCAATGCGCATCCACAACTGCTGCACCTCACGGGATTCGAACCCAGGACCTTCGGTCTTGTAGGCGAGCGCCCAACCATTGGACCACTGAGAAGACATGATCGATGGAGTTCGACCCTGTCGCGTGTAGGCAGTAACTACCAAAGACAAATGGGTGAGGTCGCGCAAAATCCCTAGATCAATCAGAGTTAGACATCAACACCAGTGGTCCATTGGTTAGGAGTTAGTGCACAATACCGAAGGTCCCGGGTCCGAATCCTGCGAGATGCATGAGTCGTGAATGCGCACTGCTTATGAGTCCCATACCAGGACCAAACGACCATCCAGTGCTTCCAGGTTTCTAATGGTGGTCTGACAATGGTTAATTGATGATTTCAGATGTATAAATTATCCTCTACAAAACCCATTTATCTAAACCGAAACTTAACAGCTCACTAGCAAGATGATCTTCTGACATGCTGGTGTAAAGTTGTGATCACTGGAGCTTAGGTATGTCGGGAAGGAAACAGTCATCACCATTGTCATAGGAGTATCCTCACATAATATCACGAACTAATTAAGGCTTGAAGTATCTGCCACTGAACGATCTGTTTACGCCGTAATAATATTGATGTTTAGGTAGTGAGAGACAATATCTCCTTGGTAGACAATGAATATTATTTACAGATTAGTGAGGATTGGCCTTCATTTGGGTGTATCATTAAGAATAAAGTAGGATAAGACAACTATTCTCAGGATGAAGTTCCTCACCATAGATCACTCATTCCTATGGTAGAAATGAAACTCAAGACTATTAATACTTGCAGCTAAATTTTAACCCCTAGACCATTGAGTTTTAATCTTGTAGTTATTACTTCCATTGTAAATCAACTCGTTACGTGGCTCGACGATCTCACGATACCATTAGTGTTAACTGTATATCTTCCTTAATTAATTAATTAATTAAACCTTATAAAATGATAAGTATTTACAGAGAATCATTCCGTTTGTCATTGTTTATTTCTTATACACTTTTTTTCAGCTTTATCACCAAACACAGAATTCAGCAGATCACTATGCCCAATATCAGGTGGATTTCAAATAAGCCAAATATTAGATTTAAAAAATTCTAAAGTCAGTTTTCTTATGCTTTGTATAAACTACATGTATGATTTTTATAAACTTTGATGTGTTATTCATGTTGGATTGTATTATTGAATTTGTATTATTTACAGCACTTAAGAGGGGAGATCAGAGATAATATTAAGAAGTGGCTTAATTTATCACCATAGGACAGTTTTGTAAATGGTTGAATTTAATAGTTTAGATCGCTAAGTAAACTAACTATTAAATACAACCCTCAATAGTGAGACCTTCACTCTCGTTTCGGATTGAAAGTAGGACGTTCAAATCCTTCAGCTTGCTAAAAGTTGCAACCATTGGAGTTCATTAATGTAAATATGAGGCATTTATCCACCAATAGCGTTGGAAGATGATAGTGCGATAACCGTTGAAGTAACAAATGTAAAAGATTGAGTACTAAGTAGTTGGTATACGGTCTAGGAATCATGAAAGTCTTGGGTTTGATTGCTTGTAGAATAGAAGATACGTACTGTACCTGTCCAATATCCTACGGTTTCCGAAAATTGTATAAGTAAGATCGATTCTTTATCTAAACTTTTAGTTAATTTGATTAGATAAACAACTATACATCTAGTGTTAATTTGTAATGCATTTATCTTCACTTAGTGGTTGAAGGGGACAAAGAGTGTTGATGTTTGAAGTGAATTGTACTGGATTCACATCTTAGAATGAACAATTTTTGGATGATTCACTCTAAGTGATAATTATAACGCCACAGCAAAAACAAAATCTGACTAGAATCGACAATTAGTCACATGAAGGTGTTATTAATTTATGATCAAGTGATCAAGTGAAAATCTACCTTAATTATATCTGAGAGAGAGAGACATATCTATATTTATGAATGAGGTTATTCTTTAAAAGTTTATTTACCAGCTCTTGGCTTTCTCACTCAATTAGATAGATCATTGGAAACTCGCTATTAGGAATCGTATATACCAGTACTAGACTTATGTGATCACTTAACAAAGTATAATAAGTTTCGATCGAATTCAGTGTTGAAATATGCTCACTATGATTGACTAGTTATCATTGATGTACAGCTATTTCATTTATATATATATAATATATACTGCATCACATAATTAAGTTTTTTCCTACTTTTATGTAGGTCTTGTGTGAACCTGATGTTTACTCGACTTTGGAAAGTGAATGTATATTAGGTGAAGGTATTTTATGGACATTCTTACAACCTCATTGTAATCCGTTTGTGCAAAATTACAGTAAGTATTAAAACAATTCAACTAGTTTTTTTTTTAACAACATCAATAATGAAACTTAAGTAGACTGAAAATTTTAAACACTCTAAGTGTAATTTAGTCTTCAAAAGTTATTAAAAACAATTGTTCACTGAAATCGAATCTTAAAAACACACAATAACTAAAAAAAATGAAAACTATTGAAAGTACATTGAAAATTTATTTCACATACAACCATTTCGTATGAACTGAATGGTAAACATTTTTCTTGACAAGCTTTTCTGAAGCCAATAGTTTTGTTTGATATGAGTTCGCTTACTGAGCATGTTCATTAGTTGATAACTTAAAACAAGCCTTTGAACACAGAAGCCATAATAATTGATGGTGCTTAGTTATATTAAGCCTGAGTTATTCATCCACAGATCTCACAACTGTCTAATATGTGATTGGATTGTAAGATGAGCACAACTAACGAGTTTCATACTGTCGAGAAGCAGCTATCAGTATTTACCCTAAATTTCGGTGACTGTATACAGTGTTAGTTTTGTTCAAAACGGAAAACTTTATGATAGCAACGATAAATGTTTAGGTTTCAAACATGAACACTCCTTAAATTAAAGGCAAATATAGGTTTTCATCATAGGGTTGTGGAGATTTTTGAGTTTCAATGAAATCACAAATTGAATAATGTTAGATCACTATTAGAAACCTGAAAGCACTGGATGGCTATTTCGTCCTAGTAAGAGACTCATCAGTAGTACGCATCCATGACCTCTGCTAGTGAGAATCGAACCCAGCACTTTGGGTCTCACGCAGACATTTAACTTTCCGACCAGTGAGCCAGCATTCAACGGTGTTGGTGTCTAACTTCAATCAGTCCTTGGTCTTACGCAACCTCATCGACTGTCTTCAGTAAACACTGCTGCAAACCTGACGGAGTTGAACTCCACTGGTTACGACGGCCTCCCAGTGCTTACAAGTTTCTAAAAACTATCTATCAATCATCGATTCACGGTTGCAAATATATGTGTCAGTCAGGAGTAATTGTAGAATTTTATAAATTAATCATATTTGTTGTTTGTAAAGCTGTACAATTTCATGATAATACGTTTGTTCAAACTGTATGTTATTGATTTGTTAATGTCACTTAACCACTCAGTTCAATTTATCAAAAACGACATAAATAAAGCATTGAACTTGATGTGACAAGATGTAATAATTTGGTACCACATAAATCCTCATTTACAGTTTCCTTCTTTCACACTTAAACTGAGCCATTAGAAATTTTTGTTCAGTGACAATAGTAATAAATGCCTCTGTGTTACACAGTTTATGAAAGATTCCAAGTTAGTTTAAGCCATGTTACATATTCAGTGCAACGTGTGTACCTTCAATTGTCTATGTTTCCTATTAAAATTCAAGTCTTACCAACAACAGTACTATTAAAATTGTTTCGTTGAAAAGAGAATTTGAAAGTAAAAAACAAAGATTATGACAAACTCTATTGAATAATTAAATGTTCAATATTGCATGATTCGACACATCTGTGGTGCGAGCTACTTATAAGTAGTATATGACGTGAGTGTCAACGTAATGTCTGGCAGCAGAAGATGGGGGAAGATCAAGAAAGGAAGAGTTAGAAAACAATGGAATTTGTATGAAACGCATGAATAGTAGTGACAATGGATTGATGTTTTGCAACAGGAACAGTCCAGTTCGATATGATGGACTGATATTTTGCAAATGAACGATTTAAGATATGGTTTTCCAATTTTACTGAGTAACTCTGTAATTTTCGTTAAATACAATTCGGTTGCCCCACCTGTGTTCTCGTTCACTACACATCGTATGCCACCGACGGCTACAATAGTCTATGCTTCCCAAAATTAAAATAGACAATACCCCCAGCAAAAAATGATAGGCAATCCAACACAACATCAACGTTTAGGCTTTATTTTTCTTTTGCCCTAGTTATTCTTGTCAACTTGTAATCAAATTACAAGTATTAAACTTCACTTGAATTATTTCACATTTTGATATATTGATATATATAAATCTGGTTGTGTTTGTTTTTCTAATGATTCTTTATGCCTTCAATCGAAATGATAATTTAATAATCACCAGTTTTTTTCTTCATTTATGTAGAGAAAATTTGATCAAGTTTCTAATTGTTTTTATTTCTGTTTTTTTCTTTCTTGTAATTCAATTAAATCTGATATTTGGTGTTTGAATTGATGAATGGGAGAAAAAAAACCATTTTTTATGATGATACATTTATTACTTGTCTAATTATTAAGTAGTGAGAATAAAAAAAATAAAAAAAATAAATCCATTCCATTGATACCTCATTCACTTATCTACCTACCATTAAGTACTACATACAGACGACCAGTTACAGAGAAAATATTGTAATTGAGACGCTTTGATCGAGAGTTTGTGAGTGCATTTCACATTCAACTATAAAAATATTCATCATTATTTGATTATCAATAAAATCTACTGTTAATAATAGTAATAATAATAATAATAATGACATGGTGTGATATTAGTCTAGTTAGTGTAATCAATCATAATGTAGTTTAAACTTTAATTAGTTAACAAAATTACGTTTGTTTACAAATCAACGCGCACACACACACGCACACACATTAAAATCAATGAATATCAAGTGTGGAGGAGGTGGAGGAGGAGGGGGAGAGATGTGCATTTCATTCCATACTCACATACCCACATTAATATAAGTACTTTAGTAATATGTTAGAAAAACGAGAAGGGAAGGAGGAATTTTTTATGATTTTTGATAGGAAAAACAAACTTATTAATGAAGTTTTTTTAATTAAATTAAAAATTTTGCAAATTATTTTCCAGTTTTTGGCAGTGTTTAGTATTTTTTTTTCTTCAAAAATCCCATATATAAAAAAATGAATAGTAAATATATCGGGACAGAGAAGTCCTGAATGAGAATAATTTTCATGTATGACTGACTAGTTGGACAAGGTCGTTAATAATGCAGTAGTTGAAAAAAAAAAAAAACAAATTTGATTTACTAAATAATGAAATTGAATTTAGTTGAAAAGGTTATTATTTTTGAAATAGAATGATGAAGCTTGTAGATGGCAATTGGTGAAACGTTGATGTTAGGTTCGTCACTAGGTACGCTTGAAGCTAGTACGGGTTCAGCTTAGTCGATAAACGCGAACGAGACAATGAACCAGTGTCCAGGTAGGCTACCTTGGTCTCAAACTGCAAAAGATGAGTCTTGATAATCGTAGAAAGTATATTCTACAAACACCCAGCAGGCACAATACAATCAAGCATACAACTCTCGTTTATTTATACATCATAGAAACGTCCTTCGGACAGTCACAAAATTAGCACACTAGAATCCACAGCAGTCAATCGCAGACAATGATTTTCCTGGTGGTAAATGCGATCTCATGGTCAACTGATCAACCCACGTGAAATGCAAAATTAAGTCATTTCTGAAGCGAGTTCTGGGGATCTAACATCCCCAACAGTTGAACTCATTTCAAGTTCCATTGAAACAACTGTGATGTAGTAAATACTTCATTGTGAGAACTACAACAACAGGATCCATTGATTCACACTTTCAACTCAAATCGACTTGTGTTACATAATGAAAGCTCTTCGAAGTCACTGTTAACAATTATTTCATTCAACATTCATTCATTCAACAATCGGTTCATTAATCATATCAATAACATAAATAAATGTTGTTCTATCCTTCCTGGATAGATCAGATTTATTCGGCAGATAATATTTGGTTGTTTTATAACACAGAGTGTTTCCTATTGTAGAAGAGTGCTTCAATTCACAATCAAAAATGCACTATTCCAGTTTGTGCAACCAATCCAATCAAAAGAGGAACAATTCATTATGGCTGTCGATATGACTGAGTATCAGCTGAAACAACATAAAATGCAGTTCAGAAAGAAACATAGAAACTCAGTGAAGGCAGCAGAAATAGAAACTCTGATAAAATACAAATATTATCATCTCAAAAATGGAATCGAACAGACTCAACAAAATGTACAACTGTAGGAATCAATAAGGATAAATTACAAATGTATACATAGTGAGATTTTCACAAATAAAGCCTACCAAAATGGAACCCAGGATCATCGAACTCGCGCGCGAACGCTTAACATCTAGACCACTGAGCCAGCATCCAACAGTGTTAATGTCTAAATCCAGGGCGTTGCTCAACCCCACCCATTGTCTTTGGAGGTTACTGCTCACATCCGATAGTAATGAACTCCACTGGTCATGTCTTCTCACGAAGTTAGTCACTACTGAGCACATGATAATTTAGTATAGTGGATAAACAATTCGACCTTCATATTAAATAAATGGACTTTCTTATTTATAACCATTTACAATAATAATAATAATAATAATAATAATGATTGTTATTATTATTTCTAACTATGACAGATTCATAAAGCTGAAGTGTCTTACGTAATTTAGTTCAACACGTTTATGTCACCTAATTGATTAAACTTCAATTTCCATCGATTGAACTCCGCCAGTAGAACCTTAGGGGCTACTGCCGGTCCCAAGCCCGGATAAAGGAGGAGGGTTGGACATGGGGTTGGCGGCCCCATTCCGTTGAAATCTAACTTGCCAAAAAAACGCTAACCAGAAAAAATAATTCAAACCATTTTAACTCTGCCCTGGGAGTTGGAGGAAGAATTATGACGTCTCGTGATGAAAGCCGAGTCCCCTCGGAAGTCACGGGGCCGATGCCTCTTCTGACAACCAGAGCAACCATTTTTTTAGGTACATGGAACGTTCGTACATTGTGGGAGACTGGAAGACTATTTCAAGTTGCGGCAGAAATGAAAAGATACAACCTCGAGGTGCTCGGCATCAGTGAAACACATTGGACACAGGTAGGACAACTGAGACTTGCTTCAGGGGAACTGCTGTTATACTCTGGTCATGAAGAGGAAAACGCTTCACATACACAAGGAGTTGCACTGATGCTGTCCAAACATGCACAA